CCCCCCACCCTCTCTTTCCTTCATAAAACTCGAACAGTATCTTTTTCAAATTTATATTTTTCACCTTCATATCTTAAAAATGAGATAGGAAACTGGGTTGAGCACATGTAAAATATCCCACAAATAAACTAAGCAAACAAATCAACCTTTTATTGTTACTTATTTCGTTTTAAGAAGTACTGCTTTTCGATCTTGTTAAACAGAACTTATTTTCTTCCTTTTGTTCAAACAAATCGAATAAGGGTGGCAAGTACAGAAAATAGAAAAATAAGTTTTTAAGGCGTTTGAAAGTGTCTTAAACTGAGCAACTTTACTTCGTTTCTCTTAAACAAGCTGTAGGCATGGCGCGAACAATCTTGCTGTATTTTTGCCATGATACGTCGGCGTGATGATGGGAACACTTATATATGACATTTCGTGTACAAATAAATCTCGAATTTCGGTGTTTTAGATAAGCAACAATTTTGTTTTCGTTGTATGGGACGTTTTCCCTTATAATACGAGCGCTTTTGACAGGTGGTCTTGTTCTCGTTTCAGAGAACCATCCCCGTTTTATGGAGGCGCGTTCCACATAGCTGAAGAAGGTAGAGAGGAGCTGTACGAGGCACAGGTATGAGTAGCACTCCACGGCTTCAAGACCAGTTCACTCTTCTGCTGGTACGACTTTGCTGCTCTCTTTATTCTTCTTTTCTCAATCAATCTTTACTCCTCTATCAACTTCTCTCTTACTTGAATTTCAATGGTCTGTATTTTAAGCCATCAATCATCTTTAAATTTGCTAACCTTATTTGTAATATACCTTTAATTCTAATTATATTTTCTTATCTTCATTTTAATCCTTACCTCTGTTATGGCTGAGGTGCTCGGCCTTACAAAGCCCCTTTTGAAAGAGAAGGGTTCATTTATCACTATAGACTTGAGGTATTTTGGAACAGCTTACAGGTGATATTTGAGTGATAAACTGAGATGATCTGAGATTGTATAGCTTCTGATGCACTACGCTTAATGATTGGTCTGGAAAATTCACGCCATCCCCTCGGCCCATCAGATCCAACAGGAGAACACCCAACCGCAACCTAATCGCGAATTTTCGTTTTTCCACGCTGGAGCGGTTTCCATTTTTCAATCTTAGTTCCCCAGGACTCCGTGACATAATTGTCTTTGTACCTTCTTGTGCAGGACTACTCCAATCTCCCCCTAAACACCACCCCTAATACACGTCATATGATCTGTTTCACAGGAATACTCAACAGATGCACACGAGGAGGTTTCTGACATCGGAAATACTGGGGCGAGTTTTAGTGGAAGTCGGAAGAGTTCGTCCTCAACCCCCTCCCCGGAGGCATATGAATCGTCACCGATGACGGAAAGAAATTACTTTTCAAATTCATCAAAAATTATGGTAACCTCAATATAATTACGCGCAAAACCAACTTCTAACTGAGATAGCAACTACCGTTTTTATAAGTTTTGTAAAGATAGAAAATGCTTCTGGTTAATAATTTTTAGTTTTTATATTCATATTCCGATAATCACGATTTGTCAAGAACACTTCTTTGTAAGGTAGATAGTTTATAAAGTTTGTACTAAACAGCTGTTTCAGGAAAGGTTGTCGTGCACGCGAGAGGTATCGTGGATACTTTTTTTTTTTTATCTTAGGATTTCAGGGAAATCTGAGAAACATTTTTAGGACGAAATATAGCAGATTTGGTAAATTTATTCGTTTCTCTGACTTCTTAAAAATCATGTTGTACCGGATACCTAGATAACCTTTCGAGATGATCGTGTGCGCTTTTGTCCTTTTTTCCGACAACCTTTCTAGAAACAGCTGCTCCCCTTTAAAAGGTAGAAATCTTATGCTTAAAGAATTGTATCGGATAACACAACGCTCAAATTCATGTGAAGCATCTTGATGTTATATATTTGTTATAGAAAGATAAACAATTGAAAAGGGAAAATTTTGGAATAAGTTAGGCACAAAAAACGCTCACTTAGAATTGTGTCATTCTGTAAACATTCGAAAACTTTGGTACTACTGTACGATTTGATTTGTTATTTTTATAATTGTCAATATCAGTTGTTTCTCTAGAGCTTCTTTTCTCGAAATGTATGTTCTATAGATTCTGCGCAAATCTTGGATTAACACTAAGTACAAAGGAAATCCTTGAAGAAATGAAAGTAGTCACACAACCATTTGTTATAGACATGGTTTCTAATAAAAGGTTCTTGTGAAGCCTAAATTAAATTAATGGCTGACACTATGGTTTGGTAGCGAACTAAATCCCGGGTGGAATATGCAAGCAGTTATGCTACGGTTGTGCTACGGCAGTTATGGGTCATAAGGCCTCCAATATCAGAGAACCATTATTTTTCAGAAATTACATCCTGAAAAAAAAACACCACGACCCACGACAAGGCTGTGGGTAAGACACCCCTTCCTCCCCCCCTTCCTCCCGTCCCCCCCTCCCTCACCGACCTGTTTTACATCCACCGGGGTCTTGTATTGACGTCTGTTAGGAGGATGGTATTTTATAATGTAACCACTAGGTGTTGAAAATTTCGAAACTTTTGTTTGAACCTAAATAGTAAATAACTTGCGCGCATACAAAAGAAGAGTATGCACTGAACAATTATTACGAGAATCTACAGTTAGAAATAATCCTTGAGAAGCCCGACTCGTTCCCACATTTGATTTCTGTCAGCTGAAGTCCACAATTTCAATCCACGTTCTCGGAGAGCCCTGTGCGCGCAAGGCCCGAAGGCTTTTTCAGAACCGGCTCACGTTAATCTATCTAGCCTTATATATATCAGCTTTCACCATGGTTTTTTTTTATGAGATTGAGCGTGCGGGGTAGTACGGCTCATACGATAAAAAAGGGTATTCAACTGACTCTGAGCGAGAGTTCAATCTGTTAAGTTCCAAAAAAATATGTCAATTGGAAAAAAAAAAAAAAAAGGGAGAGAGAGCTAACTGGTAGGCAATTGTTAAAAAAGTGGTATATTTGTTGATGATCAAACGCAAGCTGAAATTTCGCAAGATTTATTTGCCAATTTATACAAAGCCGAGTGAACGAAACAAATGAGCGAGTTAGTTTATCAGTAATTAAGTTCCGGTTTGTCAGAATCATTTAAGTTTTGATTATTCTTTGGACCGGAATCTTTAAAATCTAATTATTTAGTTTAAAATTACCAATATCCTGGGTTGATAAGTGATGCGAGTTTTATGTTTTAGTGAATCTCGTATTTTCTGTGAATAGCATTTTATTTACTTTTGGAACAATACAAAAACGCACGTTATTGTAGGAAAAGTTCACATTAGACACCTTGTTAAAGAAAAGCTAACAGCCTTTAGCGTGGCATATTTCAGCTGCTGGTATTGCCTTTCATAGGTCAAAATTAGCTCAAGAACTTGTCTCACATTTTGACGGTAGAAAAAAAATCGTCCTGGTGATTAACAGCAAATTCATCGCTCTGTAACAATCTCTGCAGCATCAGCGACTTCTGTGCCCATGAGATGAACTCCACAATGAATTCTACGCAATCATTGCAAACCAGACTCGATATAGTCCAGCTTGTGGAAACTTATCATCAGCTGAGCATCATATTGGGAATCCTTTTAGCTCTTCTATCCGTAATAACCACTTTTGGAAATGGTCTTCTTTTACTTGCGATCTGGAGAGACCCCTTTAAATCATTTCGAACACCAACTACCTTTTTTATCATTGGTTTAGCAGCGGCCGATTTTCTTACAGGACTGACAGCGTGTCCGATGTACGCTTGGTATTTCATCTCTTCGTCCTTAGCTTACAAAAACCGTGATTTCTTCTATATTTCAAATCTTAAAAAGATCGCTCAAATCGGTCAGCATATCTCTATGGTGACAATGAACAGTTCTTTCATCATTTTGCTTCTTTTCACATGGAGTCAATTCACTGCTATCAGCTTTCCGCACAAGCACCGAGCGTTTTTGACCAAGAAAAGAGTTCAAACAAGTGTGATCTTAACATGGGCATATTCTGGGATGTTTTCGTTATTCAGCAAGATTAATGCATGGCATAGAACGTTTTTAAAAATCGATCTCTATTTCAACACTTCAGGCAGCCTCATCCTTCTAACCGTTGCCTATTTTTGCCTGTTCAGAGCATTTAGGCAACAAATGAGGCGTTTGCATTCATGGAGACCCACCAATTCAACGCATGGACAACAACGACGGGGTAGAGCCAGCCGAGAAAGACAATTCATTGTGGTCAATCTGTTACTACTGACTTTCATCATCGCTTGCACCATGCCAGTCACAGTTATTTCCTATTTGGCTCAACACTGGGTTATAAAAACCCCATCCGTTCAAATGGTAAAATTAAGAATTGCAATTTTATTTGCCAATGCTATTCTCTTTCTTAAGTTTGCGATCGATCCGCTGGTTTACGCGTGGCGGCTATCGCAATATCGAAGAGCGCTGAAATCCATTCTTTTCTGTAGTCGACAGAGAACAGAAGTGGATGAATTTCTATCATATTCCATTAACAATCGAACTGCAATTTCCATCCGGAGACTGGAGTTAAACAAGGAAGAAACAAATGCAAGAAACGGAAATTGGCCGGCATAATTTTCTTGATATCTCTTTATCCGTTCAATCTTAATGAATTGCGATTAATCTGAAAATGTCTAATTTTACATGACGACCGCCGCGGACATTTAAGATTATCTTACAATATTGAAATAGTTTATTAAGATATTTTTTTTACGATATCAACCATCATTCAGTCGGTCGTTCTTTCCCGTTTCCAGATTCTTCGTTCCTCTTGGTCACCTGGCCGGAGAAACAAGCGATCTAGTCACACCCGTAACGGTCATGAAAACGAGAGGCTCTCGGGACGAGATGTCAATTAATCAGTCAGACCTGTCAAATTGCCGAATCTTTAACTTTCAATCTTTTTTTCTATGCCATACTCCACGATTAACTCAGAAACACGCGAAACATTCTTAACCAATAAGATTTGGAAGTAAAGGCGAGCTGGCAGTTTGTACCTTTTCGTTTTTGCCGCCGTCAATTTGGATTTATCTAAGTTCTTCTTGGCTGCTTGGCATCTTCTGACAGATTGTTCCAAGCATTTCAGTTCTGGTAATACCACATTGAAATCAAAAGGAGCCGTCCGTCGTTTGGTCACTGAAAAAGTGTGGTCAGTAGTTTAGTGAATCTACGAAGCCAATCAGTTCGTCAGTCAATATTCTTCATATTTACAAAATGAAAAAGAACTACAACGATATATAAATGTTTATTCAGTTTATTCAGTATTAAAAAGCAAGAAAAAATAGCAAATAAATCAAACTCAGAAACAAAATGAACACCATCTAAGAGTTAAACAGCGCATTAAGACGATACGGATAGTTAGGGTGAATTACGTGAGCTAACAAAGAATGATGGAAAGAGAGACAAACCAAACGAATGAAAATAAAATAACATACTTTCTGCACTAAATAATGTTACATTCGACTCGACTCGGGTTATGTGAAGCACACTTCGTATCTGCTTCTGTTTAAGTAACTAAGTTCGTACAATATTTAATTCTTGGCCCTGTGAGACACTTAAGCGTATATACATCTCTATGCCTTTCCAAAATATTTAACACTGTCCCGTAACATAACGTTTTCATTTGGTGAGATGGCAGCAACGAACATCGGACACGATATTCAATTTATAGCAACTAATGTAAGGTAAATACTAAATTTCTTTACTGCCTATTTCTGTGATGAAACCTCCTCACAATTGCTGAGGAAAAGATATACTCCCGGACTGAAGGAAAACGAAATAACCGAAAAAAATAATTGTTCCCTTAACTATCAGCTACCATAAATCTGAAGTATTGAAAGTGTTATTTTAAAGTTAGCTTAACTAGATAGTTAAAACTAAAACGGTTCAGACATTGTTCATATGTTTTAAAAAGTTATTATTGGGTATGAACATTAACGAACAACTACATAAGATACAAATGGAAAAACATAATCAAAGAGAGAAGGTAATGTTACATATTAAACTGATTTATAAAAGTGAAGCTCATAGTTACACTAATACTTTCTTTTACAAAAATCAAGTTTATCACACTTAGATATTAAGGTGACCTCAGTAGACAGCAAAAAAGAAAATCCCTACAATCTTGACCGGCATGTTGAAAGAATTTGATAACTTTCAACATGTGAAAAACCTTCTACCAACATGTGTTGTACATCAACAAGTCCATAAATTTTTGAAAAAGCCACAATAAGCAATAAAGCTCTTTACCACTCCAGATAGATCTTTAGGCTAAAAATGGAACTCTGTCCAATTAAGACAAATCAAGTCAATACTTTAACAGCCATGTACATGAGTTATCATCATTTCAAGAAAGTTGACACATGGGCCCACAGATATAGAGATTAAAATTATAATAATTCACTATTATTTACAAACGTGGAACAACTGTAACTAGAATGATTATAATTGCACACTGGGAATCTAATACATTCAAACCTAATAAAAATTTTACAAGGGAAATACTAACGTGCATTTATTGAATTGATTAAATTGACTTGTTTAATTTACATGAGCTACATCGTTGCTTTTCATAAAATCTCTGGGCCAAGTGGTTTACGATATGATTACAAGGAACCCCTTTACTCCCAAGATCTAATTGTTAATTCTCCCTTTCAGCTGCTACACCTTTTGTTGTAAATCAGTGACAAGAATTTTGTGTTAGATCAAGAAAACAACTGCTATTTGATAAGTTTGAGTATTGTCATTACCTGTTTGCTGAATAATACAAGGATATTATAGGGAGAAGTTACATGTTAATCCCTGGGAGTTTAAAGGTTAAGTTGACCCAGGGTTAGTATAATAGATAATTTGTTCTATTTTACAGCTTTTCTAAAACAGTCAAGTGATGTTTCTGCATGTCTCAAATTAGGATTCAACAGTATAAGACATTGACCCCAACATAACCTTATCCATTCAAGTCAAACCAAAGGCTGTATTCTAAACCTGGATTGGCACCAGCTGCCTTTCCACCGCTCCCATCACAGGTTACCCAAACCATATGCACCACAGCAGTCTGATAAGCCTAACCAGAATGCCAGCACTAAGTTATGCTCATATAAAAGCAAAAACCCATCAGACCTTCAGCATTGACTTCCAAGCTCTCTTCTGCAACTTTGAAAATTCTTGACTAAAACTTACAATAATTAAATTACAGCTAATACTTTTTTGATGTCCACTCCACTGGGGCAGTCATCACTTCTCAACAAAATTTACTTCTTTTTCAAGTGGACCTATACATAAAGAAAACACAAAGGCATGCAATTGCATCAAGTCAGCAAAAAATCTGGACGTTAAAAAAAAAATGGTGACAAGTGACTCAAGGTTGCAGTTTTGAGGCTGTTACTTAAAAGACCCCATAACTTTACCAGCCATAAGTCTAATTCTAAATCTAAAGAATGGTAGTGAAATCTGTTAGTTTCTAGATTTATTTTTTTAAGTGTACTTGGAAGCTATTAACATCTTATTCTTGAATGCTAAAACTGCAAAGTGCAAAATAAAAAGGGTTTTTGAGACGACCAATTAACCAGAACTTTCACCTTGAAAGTGCCCCCTTAGTAACGGTTGTTCTAGGGCGTTATTATAAGATTGCCTCTCTCTCCCCCAGAGGTGGTGTATGAATGGGAACTGGTGAGCTGCTACAGAGTGTCCACCCTTATCAATAACCAAATTTCACAGACTTTTCCATGACTCAGATCGATTTTTCTCTGACTCCAAATTTTACTTTAAACCTTTTCATTCCCAAGATTTCTAAATCAGTTCTCCTTAAATATTTCTAGATGCACTGCTTATTCTGTAATTTCTAAACACTTTCATCATTGCTTGATTCAAGCAGATTTCTAGGACTTTCCAGGAGCTGTACAAACCCTGCTGCCAGGAAAACCTGACAAGTCATTGGGGTGTAACCTGAGAAGAACTAGAATCCCATCCAAGAGGGCAGCAGGGGGGGGGGGGGGGGGGGGGGGGGGGGGGGGTATAGGAAGGGGTACTAATCTTAGTTCAATAAACTGGAGAAAAGTGCAGGAGAATGAGCTTCCTGGTGTGTGCAATCTGATTGAGGTTTCATAACTGAGCTAATAATTGAAGTAAACTAACATAACACTTACATATATATTGGTTGCATTTGCATTCGCGATGATTTTGAAGGTGGGTGGTGAGCAGAATTAGAATCAAAACCACCAATGAAGTCAACTATGACAGAGAAACAACACAATCAAAATAAATTAAGAGTATTGTGTCATTTTCATAATTTCATATATAGTTGTTGATGGTGACGATAAAAGTCATAGCATGTAGATTCTGGTGCATAGTTTAAATATACCTTTCTTTTGAACTTACTTTAAAAACATCACACCAAAAGCAAGTGCCAAGGTAGCAAGAGATTATTAAAACTTGCTTCATTTGGGTAAACCTAAGAAAGCTCTTTATTTTTAACACAAAAGTAGGACTAACTTACAATGGTCATCTTCATCTGTAAAAGACCTGGAGACCCAACAGCCTAACCAGAAACCTATAAACTAAAGAGCAACACAGCAGTCATTAAAAATGGTTGGAAATATGCAATTGCACAGTCTTTCCCATACATTACACATTATTGCATAGCAGGCAGGGACAACCCTTTTAACTCCCAGCAGTGATGAAGAATGAAATTTTCCTTACAACAGCAATTTGATATCCAGCAGAAATGTAACCAGAAGAAAACAAAATATCAACCAGAGGATACTATTTGATTCATTATTATATTCTCCAAATGAACATTACAGATTATGTACACGGCAGATGTACAGTAGAGAGAGTTACTATCAAGACGAGCCTAATAGTTAATGGAGGGGAGGGGGGGGGGGAAAAGAGGGCTTGCAG